TTCATTGAGGTGAAGAGGTGTCCACTACACACTGTTAAGTAACACAGCAGGTCACAAAACAGTATATGTATTTCTAAAGTTTCAAAATTGTATTAATAGATCGAGGTGTCAAGAAATTGTCCAGAATGGTGTTGACTTAACTGCTTTAATTTGAGATGTTGAGTACATTTTCCTTTTCGTATGAGAGTATTTCTGACTGGTGCTATTACAAAATGTTTCTAAGTGGTGGAACTGCGGTAAGTATGTGAGCTGATGGATAGGCCAGTCGGCTTGATTGCAGTAATCATTTCAGTGTGTACATGTCAAAACACGATGCTGAATACCTTCAATGTACATGGTTTTATTTGTAATTATATCAATTTAAAAAAAGAAAAGAGAGCCAGGGAGTTTGATCCCTGGTACAAAAAGAAAGAAAAAAAAAAAAGAAAAGAAAAAGAAACTTCCCAGAGAGTCTGTGGAGCAGGAACAGAAGAGGAATTCTGAGGTCCCGGCAGTGGTTCTGCCAGGGAGAAACCAAATCCTGGTTAAGATTTCAGTGCTCCAGCTGAGGGGCAGGGTTACTGATTGTTTCGTTTGCCTTGCTCTGCACAGCTTTGCAGGACACTAGAATTATACCTTTTCAAATAATTTTTTTACATCTTGTTTCTCATGGAATCTTGGTTTAAAAATATTTGCACTAAAGTATTACCTTAAGGGAAAAGACAATGCTTCTATTTCTGAGGTTAAATTATATTTTTCAAATTGCATCTAAGAATTGAGTGCACCAGTTATATCCTTTGGGTATTTATCTTGTCTATAACACGAGACTCAATAAACAGCATAAAATTCTTGTACCCCACTGCAACAAAAGATAATTTCATTTATAAATTGTCCGTGAAAACTGATCCAGTATTTGAAAAATAAAAGCTTTTGTAAAGGGTGTGATAATTCTTGATATAATTTTTGGAAAACCCTCTTAGGGAATTTCACTGAATTTTATAAACTTGTCCTGAGCCAAAAATAAAAAAATGGATACATTAAAACAAATCAAAATGAGTGTAATTAAAATTAACCAAAGTTCCTGATGCATTCACGACAAGGGATAGGCTGAGGTTTAATTTTTAAAAAGAATTCGTGAAAGAAAAAAAAAAGGTTCTGGCGCAAAGTCCACCATGGGCGTTCTACTTCTGTTCACGTTGCTTCCAAGAGCCTTCTAGGGCTTTTCTGTCCCTGCGCCCAGGATCAAGGAATCTAATGGACAATGCGGTCACTTCATGGAACTTGGCCGGGAACGAAGACCGGGGAGGGCAGGAGTCCCGGCTTGGTGTCGTGCACTCTGATTTCACCTGGTGTGCAAACATCAGAATGGCTGGCCTAGGCGGGGGCCGAGCTCCGGCGCGTGCGAAGAGCTGCGCACCGGGCATCGCGTTTAAGCCGCGCTCACCCGGAGGAACGCGCGGGGGCGGGTGCTCGGGCCCCTTTGGAGCCGGAAACCACGCGCTGGCCGCTCAGCTGAGGGCAGCTCTGCAGCAAACGCAGCAACCCGAGCAAGTTGTTTACTGAGACCCGAGGGCGGGGCGGGGGGGG